CAAAGTATATAATGCAATGGTTACAGTGTTATTGACCATGGCATTATTGCGTTGAGCGACATTCATATCACTATTTCGTGAAACAAGAGCTCTAGATGATTGAGTGTTTTGAGCGTCAGCTCTTTCTGAAGGTGGCTGTGATTATAAATAAAACATAATTATTAAATATAAAGTCGGTTATGACATTTAAGGATTATATTTAATAAATTAGATTTATACCTCAGTTTCCGACACATGATTTGCTATGCGACGAAACAGGAAATTAATTAAAATAATGTTATAAATTGGCGTACACATATTTCAGGATTTGATGAAACTTTTAAACTAACCTTTCCGTCTATTTTTGCGAGACGACGATTGACGCGATAATCTTCTGGTTAAATCCGCACTATCGCCATCCAGACTGTTACGTATCTGTCCTCGCCTATCGTGTGGAGAAGGTAAATCTCGATTTCTTAAAATTCCTTCGATCAATGCGTATTGCACTCCAAGTTCAGATGACAATATTTGATATTGAGATTCTACATCTCTATTGCCTGTGGAATTACGTGAAACATTGCCTGAATCTGTTACTTGTCGACGAACTGGTCTTTGACCGTTTGGTCTTCGAGCATGATCATCAGCGCCTCTAGATCTTTCTATTTCACCAGGTCGCGAATGTGAAGATTCATCGTCATTAGTTTTATTACGTAGCCGAATTTCCTTGGTGATGTAAATATAAATAATAAATAAAATAAAAAAATATGCATTTATTTATTTATAAGTAAATAGAATATTCACCTTGTTCGATCGTCTAAGTTCGTCTGTGTTTGAATCGGAACCTTGTTGCTCCTCAGTTATTGAGGCAAGAGCAGTGTCAGTTAACTCAGCACGTAAATTCTAAGAATTGTTCGTTAGCCGTTTGAAAATGAATAATTTAAAAAATAAATAAAAAAATAAAATAAATAATTAGAATACCTTGCCAGAACCAACGTCGTCCACCACATCAAATTCAGTAAGTTTTTGTTAAGGATTATAAAGCAATGTCTTAATCTGGTCTTTCCTATTACGTATTACAAAAATAAATAAATAAATATATATATATATATATAAAGGATATCTTTTGTTAGCTCTTCCGCTCCGTATTTCATCCAAGTCAAGCTTCAATTTATCAATAGTCTCTTTGAGGTGCATGTTTTCATTTCTCTGCTCTTCGAGTTCGAGCTCTGAAGCTTGTGCGGAAGTCAAGTCTTGCTCCAATTTAAATACTGCATGTTCCAGACGTTCGCGCTCGTCTAACCACTATTAATAAAAATAATTTACTAAAATTACTTTAAACTAAATAACGAATTAAATAATTCATACCTTTTTTTCTTCAGAAGACATGACATTGAGATTTCGTTGTGTACTATGTAACTCTTCCTCTTTGATCTTTACAAGATCCTTGAGTTTCTCCGCTTCCTCTGTAATTAATGTAATAAAAAAGCTATTAAAACAATACACAAAGTAGTGCAATATTCACATTCATAGTAGGTACCGCGTTGTTCTTCATATTGTCTTTTTAATTGATGATATAGTTGCATTTGACCAGATAAGTCCTTTGCTATTCTCTGCACTTCACCTTCCAACTAAAAAAATATGATATTAAATATTGAATTGGAAAAAAAAAAAAAATCTATATAAATATAAAAGTAAATATAAATAATAAATAATCGTACAGCAGAAATTTGATGTAGGTTTGTTTTCTCTTTGTTTTTATGATCTTGAATTTCGCGCTTTTTAACCATAAGATCCGCTTTTGTTTCTTCCAGCTTATGCTGAAGTTCCTCAATACGGTCTTCATGTTGACGAGCAACAGAAGCTAAATGACGTTCAGATTCTTTAAGTCGTTTTGTAAGATCAACTGTGTGACGGTATAATCTGCTGAGTTGGACAGCAGGATCATCGGTTGCGGTTGTCTATTTACAAGAGACGAATTTAGTGATTTAAAATAAAATAATAGTAATTGTAGAAGTTATATAAATATGAATATATATATGTCTTACGGGTAATAGTGAGGAAACCGTTTCATCAAATCCGCCACTTCCCTCGAATGACATTTCATGATCATCGGATGTATCATAATGTAGTTTTGAAAAACCAAGCACGCCGCTAGGAGAATCATAATATCCAGACGACATTCTTCTGGAACGAGTGGTTGTGCCATTACTTGAGGAACTATAAGACTCTTCCCCCTTTCCAATATGAATAATATAAATTTTATTGCTAAATAAAATAAATAGAGCAATATGTATTTATTTACTAAATTTAATAAGAACTCACATCGATTTCAGATGATAAGCCTTCTCTGCTTTTATGATTACGTGGTGAAGGACGATTTATGGGCCAAGCAGATCTTATAGAACCATATTTGATCTTACTTTTTGTTGGCTGTTCCGAAACAACATTAGTACTAGATGACGAGGATGCTGTAACAGTCTGTTGAGGCTTAAGCTTAGTCACAAGTTGAAGAACATCATCAACGGAAATCTCCATATCAGGATTTTGTTCACAGAACAATTGAAGAGAAGACCGGTCTTCATCTTTCAACAAAATGGTTTTTTGCTCGGACTCGAAAGCTTCGATTATCTTGAACAAGTCTTTGGAAGCAATTCTCCCTTTATCAAAAGGTGGAAACATCTGTTCCAGTTGAGCTTTGAGAGAAGATTGTTCATTATCCGCCAACTAACAAATAACAAATAATAAATGGTAATTAGAACTCGTATAACCAAAGATTATCCTCAAAAAACGATCGCAATTATCGTTAACAAAATTGATTAAATGAACATTAAAAAAGAGAAGGAAAAAAAGACAAAAAAAAAATTTTAATATTCTTAATTTAATGCTAATAGCCTATATAACAAATATTGGAAGACGAAACGATAGAACGTAGACGAAACCTAAGTAATCTTTTGTTAATATTTACTAACCTTTTCAGTTTCCTTTTGTTCATCGGAGGGAGGCTGCCCGTCCATTTTTGACGGGCTAACTTGATCCATTTTAGTGCAGTATATTGGATAAGTATATCCGCTTACAAAAGAAAGTTAACACAAAATATTATAAAAGAGGGAAATGTGTTTAGCTTGTAAATATAGCTGATGTCTTTCACCGGTTAGCCTTACTATGCCGAGTAAAAATCGTCGTAGCCGGTGTGCGGAGATTGAAAAGGCAGAAGCTACCAAATTTGATTATAATGAAATTTATTCTGCGTTATTATTTCTTATTGTTTGTGTGATTTACAATAATTTAAATATAAGGCATATACTGAAGGGGAGGAGGGAAAGTGGCGAAAAACAACGTTGGAAAAAGGTGATGAAATAAGTCACACAAGAAGAGAAGGAAAAATAACTTTACTTGGTATTACCAACGTTTCAAAAAAAACAGCTTAAAATATTGTACGTACACTTTGTACGGTGATTGTACGTACCCTCTTAAATAATGGTACGAACGCAAAGTATTTCTGTGCGGGAATTTAGTACTGTGCCGTTTGTGCGGGGCATCATGCGTGGAATAAGCATATATATTACAAAGTTCGAACTACATTAGATCACGTGATAAAATTACCAACATTGAAAAAAAAAATTTTTAAAATTAATACTGTACAATGCACTCGCGATCCGCTAACCTAATTTTAATTATCCATAAAACTGTCTTATCTAAAAAATATAAAAAACAAAATTTTCTTTAAAATTGGCCTGGCCGGATTATGAGAACTAATTAGTTAACTTTGTATGGACTTAAATTAGTTTATTTGATAATCCTGTCATGCGAGACCTTATTAGTTTACTAAAATTTCTAAACATGACAATTAAGAAAACCAGATATATATTTATAAACATAAGATCACTAAAAAAAAAGTTTTTTTGGTTTTATAATTGCTATGATTTAGTACAAAAAGACTTGCACCTCAACTATATTACTGTACGTATAGTATACGTATTATTATTATTATTTTTTTTCAGTATCATGCTAATTTTTGTACTACGTATTTTTATTATCTGTTATCTATTATCTGTTACGTATCATGTAAGTACGTATACGTATATGTATTATATATCAGATATCTGCTACGTATATATATCGATATGTTTATTTGTATTATAAAATTTTGCTAAGTGATTAAAGACTGTCTGTCGATTCTGTGATTGACGATCTCAAAAAACTTTTTTGCTTTGATTTATTTTATAGTGTTATAGCATCATGATGCTATAGCACTATAGTGCTATCTTTTATTTATATTCATACCTGATATATATTTTTATATTATATATACTGAACTTCACGTGATAATCGACCAAACTAATTCTTATATTTTGAATTTCCTTTTACTTAATATATAAAATATATATCGCTAATATCTACTCTAATATAAAAGAAGTTTTTGACTATAATACGTATAAGTGTAAGATATCTTAGCAATGCTTAATAAAACCTGAGTTGCGAGCTAATACGTAAAATTTATTTTACAATCTAATGAATATAAATTATGTTTATATTCAAATACTGTATATACTGTATATACTATACTACTATATATATAGTTTATAACTCAAGTTTTATTTTTAGTAATATATATAGTAGTTAAGCTATATAAAAATATATAATTGCTGGATTTCCTTTAGTATAGATGGCCAATATAGAAATATTATACTGTACATAAAATTATAATATAAAAAACTCTAACCCTAACTTTAACCTAACTATAAATTATACTATAACTTTTACTCTAACTCTAACTATTTTTAAATTTGTTTAAATTAGTTCTAATAGTTATTTTTGTATATTATAATCTTATAATATTTTTATATTAGCCACCTATACTAAAAATCAACCTAACTGCTATTTTAGATAATAGATTTAGAGTTTATTTTCAATTATTATAAAGTACTGTATCTATATATATATAGATAGAGTCATATATAAATTTTAATTTTTTTTAAATTAAAAAAATTCTTTACTAAAAAAATAGTTTAGTTAAAATTTATTATTTTGTTAAAGAGTTTTTTAATTTAATTTTCTTTAATAGATAGAATTTAGACTTTTGTATTACTAGTAGTATATTTAAAAGTATAGATTAAAAATTTAAAAAATTACTTAGGCTATACAAATTTAATTACTTGGTTTTCATAACATAAAATTTTAAAAATAGAACCGGCCGGCTGGCTTTTTTTTTTAAACTTTATATATAAAATTTTATAAAATTTATATAAAAATTTTTTTTAAAACCCACCTGGTTATTAAAACATATAAAAAATTTT